ATGCAAAATAATAGGAAAAATCCAAAAACTCTTTTTTTTTAAATATTATTTTCGTTATCTAATTTATCCAAAAAAAAGTTAAAAAAATAAAAATAAAATAAAAAAAATCACTGTTTTTTTTGAAATATGAGCGAAATATTCTAATAGAATATTACACTGTAAATAATCAAATCGAATTTCTAGAATGTTAGAATATACTAACATTATATTAGAAATTTTTGAATATTTATAGTTTAAATCTAACATTCTAAAAATTCGATTTGAATATTTACAGTATAATATTCTATTAGAATATTTCATATATTTTTTTTTGGAAAAAACGGTAATTTTTTTTATTTTTTTTTGGATAAAAAATGACGAAAATAATATTTTAATTTTTTTTCGCAAATTTTCATATATTTATTGCATTTTAAAAGTATGTTTTTTTTATTTAAAAAATGAATGGCTAGGATTGCATCCCCATGTCTCACAAAATATGATGGTCTCATATAAAACTAACCCTATATATATATATATATATATATATATATGGAAGAGTTGTGTAGAAAATGCATGAACCTTAGAAACCCTAAAATCAATAGGAATTAGAGCTGACAATAGGTCAACATGGGTTGGGTTTGGGTTCAACCCATTTATTAGCTGGGTTAAAGTTTTTAACCCAACCCAACATGTCTATTTAAATGAGTTGATATTTTCAAGCCCATAAAACCTTTTAGATAAATGAGTTGTCATCAGGTTGACATGTTTATGTAGTTACCAACCCAACCTACTACATAAATTTGTTAAGCATGGGTTAACCCATCTAAAAAAAATTAACCAAAGATTACACCACTTAAGATAGTTCTAAACGTAAAAAAATTACAAAGTATGACAAAAGCACTATCTGAATTCACAAATACATAGAAGCTGTTTAAATAACATTAAAAATATTTAATTTCGAAGTGATTTTGGAGAGTGGTTAGTATTACCAGTGTTAAGAAAAAGGATAGGAATTAGGATTGCATTTTTTTTAAAACATAAATAATAATATACAACATTATAATTTATAAATTAATACTTTGATTAATACATGATAATATTCAAATAATTATTAAATTAAACATATATATTAAAGTTAACTGGGTTGAAAATTGTTACACAACCCAACCTATTTAATTAAATGGGTTAACCAGGTTAACCCAATATCGGATATTTCCTATATCGGACAACGTGTGATATTGCCTTCTTCTTTTACTGGGGGTGCACGCTACATGATGCAGAACTATTTAGATGCCATGTCACTTTGTAAGTGGTTTGGATACCCTAATTATTTCATAACTGTAACATGAAATCCAAAGTGGCCCGAAATTCAAAGGTTTAGTGCTGACACAATCCTCAAACCCGAAGATAGACCCAATATCATATCTAGGTTGTTTAAAATGAAGCTATATTCGTTGATTAAAGACTTAAAGAAAAATTCGTTATTGGGTTTGGTCCAAGTAGGTAATTTATATTAATAGTTCATTTTTAAAGTGTTTTCATATATTTTGTTAATATGTTTTTTTATTTCAATATCTTATAATACATCTCTATGTAAATAAATTTTTAGTTGTTTATACGGTGGAGTTTCAAAAGTGCGGCCTACCTCATTCCCATATATGTCTATTCATGCACTCTGATTACAAGCTCCCAACCGTTGAACATATTGATCAGGTTATTTCTGCTGAAATTCCAAACAAAGACGACGATCCAGAATTGTATGCACTTGTCAGCGAGTTCATGATGCATGGTCCTTGTGGTAGTGATAATCCTAAATGCCCATGCATGATTGATAGCAAGTGTTCAAAAAACTTCCCGAAGACATTCAGAGAGCATACTTCGGTTGATGAAAATGGTTATCCAATATATAGGAGACATAATGATGGATCTTTTGTTGAAAAGTCTGGTGTTAAGTTAGACATTAGAAGTGTGGTTCCATATCACAAACTTCTTTTGAAAAGATACCAAGCTCACATTAATGTTGAGTGGTGCAATCAGGGTGATTCCATCAGATATTTGTTTAAATATATTAACAAGGGTTCTGATAGGGCTACTGTTGAGGTTGTACAATGCAACAACGCAGATGATAATGATGATGCAGTTGATGAAATAAAAACTACTATGATTGTAGATATTTTTCTGCATGTGAAGCTTTGTGGCGTATATTCGAATTTGATGTTCATTTCAGGACTCCTTCTGTTGTCAGGCTTCCTTTTCATATTCATGGATAAAAAAATGTTGTATACGATGTTGACGATGATATTGAAGATGTCCTCAATAAACAGTCTGTTTCTTCTTCGATGTTCTTAGCTTATATGGAGTGTAATGAACATAATAAGGAAGCACGGAAACTTTCTTATGTTGAATTTCCTACCAAATTTGTTTGGAAATTGAAGGATTGTCGCTGGAAGCCAAGAAAAAAAAGGATTTTTTATCAGTCGAATTCACACTGTCTCTCCTAATCTTGGAGAAGCATATTTTTTGAGAATCCTTTTAAATAAAGTTAAAGGCCCGAAATGTTTTTTAGATATCCGCACGGTTAATGGACACGTGTGTTCTACTTTTAGAGATGCATGTTATGCTCTTGGAATTTTGGAAGATGATAGGGAATATATTGATACAATTGAGGAAGCAAGTCATTCAGGTTCTGGATATTATTTGCGTTATCTATTTTCAACTATGCTGAAGTCTAATAGTTTGTCTAGACCGTGCTTTGTCTGGGAAAAAACTTGGCAATACTTATCAGACGGAATTCTTTACAATCAACAACTAAGATTAAAGACACCAGGTAACATGTTAATTTTCATTATTTAAATTAAGGTTTTACTTAATAATTCTTACATAATATATTATATTTATTCAATAAAAATTATTAGATATTTTTATATATTTAACAAAATCTTATTAACCTTATTATTACCGGTAAGTTTTAATTTTATATAGTTATATATAAAAATTAAATTGCAAATTTCTACAGGTTTATCGCTTTCTGAGGATCAAGTTAAGAACTTGACACTTTATGAGATTGAAATCTTTTTACTCCAGAACAATTCAAGCCTCAAAGATTTTGATGGAATGCCTTACCCTGATCATGAGTCCGTATCTTTTTCAAATAATCGATTGATTACTGAGGAGCTAGATTTTGAAAGGATGAATCTATTGCAAGAGTTTTATCAGCTACTTGGTTCATTAACAATTGAACAAAGAGATGTTTTCGACGATATTATCAAAAATGTTAAACAAAAGAAAGGAGGCGTCTTTTTTGTTTACGGTTACGGAGGCACATGGAAAACATTTCTCTGGAAAACATTATCTGCCGCTTTAAGATTAGAGGGTGAAATCGTGTTAAATGTTTCTTCAAGTGGTATTGCTTCCTTATTACTGACAGGAGGTAGGACAGCACACTCTCGGTTTATAATCCCTTTAAATCTTATCGAGTATTCGTTTTGTTCTATAACGCCCGAAAGTGATGTTGCCGAATTGTTAAAAAAAACATCATTGATTATATGGGACGAGGCACTCATGATTCACAAGCATGCCTTTGAAGCT